GGAATGCTCCGAGGCCACTGGAGAGAGACTAACCCACTGCGAACTGGGGATTGTCAGTGCCTTCCCCTTCCCAAATCCCTCTTCTCTGCTGGACTCCCTGGTCCAGGAGAGGAACGGCGGGGCCCGCCCCCTTCACCCACAGCCTAAAGCTCCCCTTCGGAGGGGGCAGGCAGCCGGCAGCACAGCCTGGCTTCGCTACAGCTCAGCGGACAACTGGGGAAATCCGCAGTCGAAGCATTTTGATTTGGCAGATGGGAATACCGCAGCCAAGATTCCTGCACCAAGGAATGCCCTTTGCTGACAAGCAGAAGGTCTGCCTGGGGGTCCCCGATCAGCTCCTCACCCCGATACTGTGAGCCACTGCCTGTTTTATCATGGTGCAGGGCCCGAGATGGATCGAGGTAGGACAACTCTGCTGACAGTACTGTTTATGGGAAACAGTGTTGTCAGGCACAAAAATCCGGGTGGCCAAAAAAAGAAAAACAAAACAAAACACAAAACTAGTCAAGAGACTGGAAGAAACAACAGTGACATAAATAACCAACACAAGAGAAAAGTCCCAGTCCCCATTTGAACCTTACTCAAACCAAGTTTATCTGGGTTCTTATTTACACAGAAAACCTGGATTAACTACAAAAATAACTGAAATTTCTTTTGACATTCAAACAGTGCATCTCTCCTCTCGGCAGCCTCGTTAAAAAACATGCAGAGAAGCGTGCTCAGGACCTTCACTTTTCACAGTCATGATTCAAAACCACCTGTAGGTAATCCTTTTAAAACATTTCCCATACAGAAACATTACCACACCACTGCAGAAACGGGTCATGGTATTTGAAGCAGACCGTGACAGGAGGGCTGTGAGGTGGTTAAACATCTGTTTACTTGCCTCTGTTAAGTCACAGTGTATTTCAGTACTGTAGTCCAGCCTCAACAGCAATTGAACCCTAAAACAATCCCATTACCTGGGGCTCTTTATTTATTTTTCTGATCCAAGTAAAAAATAAAAGTTATGTAAAACTAGAAGGCCGCATCTGAAAGCACTCGGGGGTAGGGAGGGAGAAGAAGATCATGCACATTTTAAATGAGCTTTCCTGTCAGAGTCTTGTATTTTTAAGGCAGTCTATCAGTATGTCCTAACTTTGCATATAAAGAAAAGATTAATCACTTTAAATGTACTTTCCATGTTGTCTGAACACCAGTACAGATAGGAAGATGAGGCTTTCCCATCAGTATCAGAGAGGGGAGAACTGCCATGAGGACAACAAACGGAATGCAGGACCAGCTTTTGTCCATCTGCCAGTCTCCAACTCCTTCCCATCCTACCAAGGCAGAGAGGTTCCCGGGCTGAAATCAGGTCAGAAAACACGAGTGCTGCACAAAAGTTTCCACACCAAAGGACAAGGGAACAAAAGGAGACCTTGCCAACGGGAAGGAACCCAAGCAAAGCGTAAGAGTGTGCCTGAGCCACAGGACAGACTTGGCTGTTCCCCCCCTCTCTGCCCACACACTACCACTTCAAATCAGCTGTCTCTGAACCCCGACCTCTGACAGGGCAGAGAAAAGGGGGCAAGCGCTAACAAGTAACACGTGACTGAGGGGGCACGATCCACTGACTGAACATGAAAGCCATCAAGGTCAGACCTACACCTGCACAGGAGGGTTGCCAAGCCCACGCAAACATTTATGTCAGTTGAGCTGAAATTAGCCTGATGTTCTGCAGTCCTAATGAATGTAGGATCTTGTCCACAGGGCCAGGAATTTGTGCAAGAGCCATTCAGCAAGAACTGATTTCCAAGCGTCAGTCCTGTCTTGGTTAAAAACAAACTGCCCTCTAGAGGGTTCCACACATTTGCCAGTTTTATCGGCATGAAATCTGCATGAAAGCGTGGTGAGGAAACAGCCCTACCAAGTCCTGACGGGTCTCTGGGGAGGAACAACCAAAGACGGAGAACCTGCTGTGAAAAACGGCAAGTGGGAGGAAGGCAGACAGTGCTGTAACCAGGACATGGGAAAGAAGGGGTTTCCCACGAAGAAACACCAAGATGAGTGAGCCAAGAGATTAAATGGAGACAAACAAAAATTTCTTGTGAAGGACTGATTTGGTATTCTACCAAGAAGGCAGGGGTAGAGCCATGATACTGCTCTTGGGAAACCGTGGACCAACAGATGATGATTTGGGAGCCACCTCACTTTCTGCTCTAGAAATCCTGACCAAGAGAGAAACAAATTGAGATACAAAGCTCGAATCTTTCTTCAGGGGAGACACACATGAGGGAATTCACCAGGATCTTTGGCAGTGTTCCCAGACACTGCCCCACAGAAAAAGCAGCTCCTTTTTTCACCACTCGGAATAGAGATCCACGTTTTTCCCAAACCCCATCTCCTTAGGGATGAGTTGAAGCTTGAATTACTGATGTGGCTAACACTGCTGGCATGAGAAAATTCCCTATCAGAGTTAAGCAATAGAGACAACATTGCTCAGGCTGTAGATCAAATGCTCTTGGGCAACACTGAGAATAAAGCAAGTCCTTCCTTCCCTTTCACTTCTTGGGAATCATCAAATGAAGCAGAAAAGAGGCAGACAGATCTATGTCATGTTGGGTGAAGAAAAAACGAGAAAGACAGCTATTCCTCCTCTTCCCTGAAGATGATCTTTAATGTTATGTGCCAGGGGAATTCAGGCACTCTGCAACTGAAAACACTCAGTCTTTCTTAGGAAAAACCTCAAACTCTCCCTCAGATTCACAGGTCTGCACCGGCATTGAAGAAACAGAACAGAGAGTAACAAAGCATCCGGAAGATCTGTCTCATTTTTCAACCTAAAGGTGTCTTACCCTTAAATAACTGGAAAATACCTAAAGGGATCAGATAAAATGCTTCGTTTTACTGGACTGGTGGAACATTAGTACAGTAACAGAATTAGGTTGGGACATGTTCATTCTGGACTCCAAACACTAGGATTTCTTTTAAGTCCCAATACTCCTCCAGTGAATACTGCACTCCATTCACAGTTAGAAGATGACCTGAAGCATGGTCTGGTCTGAACAAAGAGCTGATCCCATTCACTTCAGAAATCGCACACATGACCTAACTACAACTCAACTGTCATCACACTAAGGCAAAAAAAGAAAAAAGGTAAAGGCAATTATGTACCCTGAACAACATGCAGAAAACAACTGGATTTCAGTGTGTATTTCTGAAGTGGGAATCACCTGGCCTGGGAGAGGACTGGCTACTTCTAGTTGTTCTCCGTATGGCAGCAGGGAGAGCTCAGAAATCCTCCTGCCTGAACAGCTCACTACTTTCTGATGATCTGCTGTCACCCAGACACAGCACTGTGACAATACCTAGTTCTCTAGGCACATAATTTCTGAACAATTGCAAAGAACATGAGGAACACAAAACCTGATGAGACTATTACCTATACTACAGGAACTTCTGACCTAGCCATATAGTTGCCTTTTCAAATTTTAAACCAATTTTGAGAAGGGACAAGCAAAGGAAAAACCTAAAAAAAAAAAACCAAACAACCCAACAAACCAACCCAAAACAGTAACAAAAACCCCCAAAACCAAAACCCAACCCAAACCAAGCCTAAGAAATAATAAAAATCAAGCAACTCCCCCCCACCCCCCCGCAAAAAAAACCCCAAACCCACAAGCTTCAAGGCAGACGGAGATGACTCTGTATCTTAACCACCTCCATGGCCACACTCAGGAGTAGAAAAGAAAGCCTTTGGGGAGTAAATAGCAACTTGCTGTTCAGCAGAGAAGAAACTGCACAAGAATCTGTTTTCGCAAGAAAATGGGGAGGGGGCGAAAGAGAGACACCTGTCTGAGGCTGAACTGCCAGGCTATCAGGCACCTGACTGATAAATGAAAATGTTCTGCTAAAAGACATCAAAGATAAGCTGCCATTGCCATTTCTACCTCAGCAAGGAAAATAAGCTTCACACACTTCAGGTCTGGCAGGCTGGAAGAAAGGTGATTTAAGCAAGTTGCCCCTGGAAGACACAGAAGGAGATACTGTATCAGCCATTTTAAGTGAGAAGAATTGAAAGCAGTCAACAGACTGAAGGTACATAAAGGGCAGTTTGAGCTCACGGTTTCCTGTAAACCTGGACTAAGGTGGATATTCAGACTCACTTCAGCAAAGATGCCATTTCATGCTGGAGTGACAAGTTCCCAAGCACAACAGGGATGCCTGAAAGAGAATCTAGGAAAAGCACGCAGCCAAAGTACATCTGTGCTGTAGTATATTCTATTTCAAAACGCAAGATTCTTCACAGTCATTAAACAAACCCCTTCCCCCTGCAATAACTGTCAAAAGCGTAAAGAACGAGGAATAAAAGGCCACTTAAATTTCAAACTTATTCTTTTAATGTCTTAAAAAGGTCACAAGATTGTTTTCAATCTTATTAATAAATTTTATTTGGACAAGTAGAGAACAACTTGTATCACAACAGCTTTAAACAACATGATTAAAGACTGCAGCACTCCAAGGAGGCTCACAGATATGTACAGTATATGAAGAAAAAAGTTGCACCTCAGAGCCGATCATGATCAAGTTAAAAATACCTGACTTAAAGTACATGTGCTAATAAATTTCCTTTAGGTCATGACCAGCATGAAAATAATTAGGACACAGGTACTCAGCAAAGTTTTCTGCTAATGGGTACAGCAATATGCTGCATTTAAGGATTAAAATCAAATTCTAGTTTAGTGTTAGCACTGAGCCCTTAAGAGAAATTCCAATTTCTACTTTTCCCCATTTACAAACATCAAAGCTATTCCCACTTAAGGGTGTGCCCAGCTGCACACAAATCAAGTCCTTGAACGATAAAACCTTTTAGCGCTAATACTGGAGGTCTCACATCCCGGTATAAATTTGTCTTTCTGGCCATTTCACCTATCAGTTGCTACAGAAAATACTTGCTAAGTTAACTCCTCAGGAGAAACAATGCAGGTCTCTGGTAATCACATCCTTTCTATAATGAAAATGATCTGCCAATTCAAGTTTCATTTGTTCAGGAAGACAGAAGATTTAAGGCTTCGGTGGCAAAAATAATCCTCTGAGCAGTGTTTTTCTAAAGTCAAGCTGACACAGGTATGTTTACTTTTTCTTGACTTAAAATCCCTGGTATTAAGTTTAGATAATATCCACCTGTTAAGTCTGGCAAGAAATCTCTCCTTCCAAACAGGTTGTCCTAGATCAACCATTTTAGAAGCATTTGAGGATAGTTTGTTTAATTTTTTTTTAATTATAGCAACATTCAGAACTTTTTAATAAGTTGATGAAGCAGTGCTCATGGCGTCATCAGCAATTTTGGTACTGGCAGGGTGTATGCTTGCAAAATATTTGACATCACTGTCATCATCCATTTGAAGCGCCATAATTGTTTGCTCCACAGCTTCTTGATGAGAGTTGGCAGAATTTAGAAAATATTCTGTAAGAGAAAATGCATAAGACTTTATAGAAGGAAAAGATGGCAGATACTTCAACGCAAACCTCAGCATACTATCATGAGGTTCAAAATCTCAGGAGACAGTGCACATGTACAGTCAAACTGGAGTATCTGAGCAGACACACAATACACTACTGAATAAACACGAGTTCACCTTTAAAAAAAAGTCATTCCATGTTTCAGTGCACAGTTGCTCTAACAGTGCTGTTGGAGTACAGGATTTCTATAGTCCTTAAATACAAATGTAAGCATGACAGACTCCATGACCAAAGAGGGGAAAAAAAAACCTGCAGAGACTCAGAAGGAGCATGCTTATATTTGTGATGGAGGGAACGTATCACAAACCCATGGCCATGCCACTCTATTTCCACGGAAGGCTTGCCAAATAATTATCAAAAAAACCCTAAGATAACATGAAATAGGAGTGGAAAAAGTTCCAACACCTGACAGTTTTCATAAACTACACAACACAAGCTGCATAAAAGCAGCATAACTACAAACAGCTCACAGGAAGGGCAATTTAGATCTGAGGTTGAAAAACTTTTGAACTTACTTTCAAATCTCTCTTTCATAATCTATCCACCATCCCTAATCATACACACAACACCTTTGAGGCAGGGACTACCTGTATTATAAGCTTACATAGTGGCACTGCAGAATGGAAGGGGAACACAAAAATAATGAGGACAACAACAAAAATGCCAATACTGCATGGTAACAGGAAGAACAGTGATAGCCTTGGCACAGTTAACAGAGAATAAATTACCGCACATCTGCTGATCCATCTTAACTGTCTACATATGCTTACTCAGTCTCTCCAGCATGCGCAAGATAGCTAGCAATAGCCTAGTTCTCACTGCATTGACATCCTTTGTGTTGTCCAGTATTTTGAACATTTTGCATTTTTCTTCACACTTTCTACACTAGAAAAAGCAGTCCTCAAGCCAGTGTATGGTTTTGAGAAAGAAAGTGACCATAACTGGATGAAGTATTCCAAGTGTGGACACTCTGCTGGTTTACAAAATAGCATAGTATTTCTAATGCTATTTCCCTTTACAGTGCTTTGGAATCTGAGCACTGACGACTCTTCTGGCATCTGCTGTGCATTGGGGATGCTTTCCTAAGCAAAGTCTGCAATTTGAAAGTTGCATGTCTAATTTCCCTGAAGAGACTCCAGAGAAACTTTCTTCCCATTACTTCCATAAAACATAAAAAACAAACAGCAGCCATCTCTTCTCCCCCAGTGAGAAAACAGATGGTGGATTTGTATAGAAGGATTTTTCTTTATCCTTATTACACAGATTTTGCTTTTTAACCAAACGAAAGGCACTGCTCAACAACTTCACAGTTGCTAGTTTTTCATTCGTGGTTTCTGTGCCCTGATGACACCTCTACAAAGTAGTTCATTCAGGGAAAATGGAACAAAAAACCCAGGCTGGCATATGAGCAAGAACTCTCATTTCCCCAGCGTTACACAACAGTGGCTCTGACAGCACAACAAGGTTCATGGTTTTATCTCAGCTGAGGTAACATTCTACACCAAGACGACTGTCAAAAGCAAGTGCAACGCACATCTGATGTTGTTTCTTCTTTTCCAGCTGACTATAGGAAAGTGGAGGGACAAAAAGATAAGCAGCCAGCCCACTACAACTCTTTCTGAGCACTAACCTTTTTCTAAAAGAGTTTGTTTTAATGTTTTTGCAAGCAGGACTCGAACATTTGGAACCCTGTCAGATGCCAAGTGTAATAAGTGTGGCAACAGATGCACAGCAAACTGGTCCATGGGCAAGCAGTCATCTTCACTGATAGTCTGGCAAGAAGACAGAAGCAATTTCATTAGATTTCAGCACAGTGAGGACAAAATCCCAACACATAATCAGAGCTGACAGATCTTATTACCTTCATAGCACAAATACAGTGGGTAGTATCCACAAAGTTTTAAAACACGGTACAATTCTTTCTAGCACAAAGTTGTATGCAATGGAGCAAGTTAGGGAAGAAAAGTAACAGACCTTTCCAATCTTTTTTAAGATTGATTTAGTCTTGGTTTTAACTAGGTACTATACTAAGAACAAGAATGGTCCATCTTAATAAACATCCGTTGTACCCAAACATGTTTCTCTAAATAAGCTCAAAGCTCACATTTCTCCAAATGCGAGAATTGTCCCACTTGGGCAGCAGTCATGTTGGTTCCCAATCTGCACCTCTGCTACAGCTGCCAAATTTGACCATTTCCTTGAGACCCCAGCTAGCTGCAACTCTTCTGCTTGTTTCGCTGGAATACATTGGTTTTGACCAAGCTGCACTAGCTGGCTAAGCAGGTACAGGCAACTCATAGCATTTGGTTTCTAAAGGGTAACCCAAAAAAGCAGCAGACTGTTGCAGCATATTATAAAACTCAGGGATTATTTTGCTACGTATTTGTTTCATATTCAATGTCAGATTTGACAACCTGATGTTAATATGCTAAACTAAAGATGCATTCAAGCTCATCTATGGAGCAACACTGAAGAAAGCAACCATGAATCCTATTGCCTTGGAAACAAAGTTCTAGAATAGTGTCAACAGACAGCTAAAGAGTTCCAGCTGCTAATCCCCCCTTCATTCTTACCACCACCCCCCAAAACCAAAAAGATAAACTAAAAGACATTTTACCTGGCAAATAAAGACAAAAGTCTGCCGGCCAGACCATTTGTGACATCTGCAGAACTTTTCAACAAGTTCATTCATGAGGTCTGTCACGAAGGTTGATGTTGAAGCCATGTACAGCTTTTTCACCATTTCACTAACCTTGAAGAAATGAGAAAAAAAAAACCAACAAAAATTACTTCTGACCACCAACCCTCAGAAGTCAGAAATCCTCAATTTACTTAAACTGCTTTACCAGCTTGTAAGAAATCCAACGGACAGAAGACACTTTGTCTGCACAGAGGCTGAAAGCGATAGGTCGCAAGTAGTCATAAATGTCTTTGGCACTGTACAGATCTAGAAGCAAGATCAGTTGCCTACAGGATGGAAGAAAAACCAAAGAGAGTACATTATAATAATAAGAAAGGTAGCTTTAACTGTGAATATGATCAGCTATATGACAACACTTGCTAAATACGCAATATGGCCATAATAAGAGTTACTGAAAAGTAAAATCTTCTATTTTTCAGTGCCATCATGACTCAATGCCAATCATGGGTCACTTGCAAATTTAAAATTGCCACTTATTCACAATAATGGCAAAATGCTGCATGAGCTCAAAGAATGAAAAACTAGGGGAGCGGCAAGGGAACTAAGGTGTCATTTACAAGGCAGGGATCCTGATATCCACTACAATGTACATGCAGCACAGTGATCCAGATGTGAATGACACTGCAGCGTGCTCATACATTTGAATACCTGGTAAGGACATCTCACACATGTAACATGAACAGCTACAAAGTAGCTACTCTGACTTGGTTTGATAAGTATCCTTGGTCACCTAAGTACACTGATTTATCAAATCAATAAACTTCCACTTTAGAGCATACTTGACAACTAAAGAAATTATCAGTCATCTTCAGTTTGTAATGAGTTAAGATTTCAGCAGGTTGTAGGCACAAGTATGTATCACAAATGATAGAAAGCATGTCAAAAGAAGTGGCGTGACATGTTACAAGCAGCCGATTGCATGTCTCCATACCAGCAATAACAGGTAAGTGATTTGTAGTTACTAAATCAAAAAAACACTTAAATGTAGCAAAAAAACATGACATCATGATCAGTTGTTAAACTAGGTCTCTTAAAATTTAATTCAAAAGATACACTGTAATTAGTCATTACAATATGCTCATTTTCCTGCTGCAGGAGCCCTGGTCCCACAGTCTCTCCTCACAGGGCACATGCTGCAGTCCTGACCATCCTCATGACCCTCTGCTGATTTTGTTCCAGTTTATCAGCATCTTTCCTGTATTGGTATAGATGCATTACTCCAGATGAGATCTAATGAGTGTGGACCACCGGGGGTTAGTCTATTCCCTTGATATACTGACTTTTACCATCTGATGACTTCTACTCATCTGGCCTCCGCCCATCCAGATCATTATGTCCTAATCTGGCTGCAAGAATATTGTGAGACATGGCATTAAAAGCCTGGCTAAAGCAGAGATAAGTGACATTCACCACCCTCTCCTCAACCACAGACTTAATCATTTAATCAAAGAAGGCAGGTTGCTCAGATGTGATTACTCTTGGCAAGTAATGCTGACTGTCTCCATGAAAGAGTCCTCCTTCACATGCCCAGAAATGGTTTCCAAGAGGACCTGCTCCATCATTCCCAGGGCCGGATGCAAGGCTGACAAAATTTTAACTCCCCTGACAGTACCCATCTTCTAAAAAGCTAAAAGCACATCATCTGCCTTTCTCTAGTTCCTGGTGGCATGCCTTCATCTTCACAGCCTTTCAAAGATGATGGCTAATGGTCTCGCTAGGACACGGGCCAGCTCTGTCAGCACCCTCAGTTGCAGCCTGTCTGGTCTGATGGATATACACAGGTTGAGTTCTCAAGTAATCCCTCAGGTGATCCTCAACCACCACTGAAACCTATTCTAAGCATGGAGGCCTGGGAAATCTTGCTAGTGAGCACCTTGTCAGTACCTCAGCCGCCTTTGTGCCCACCATCACTAGATCATCCACACCATTCAGCAATGGTCCCATATTTTCCCTATTTATTCTTTTTGTGCTAACATAACAGTACTTGACACCCCTTGCAAGTCTCAGCTTTAGCTGAGCTTTGACTTTCCTAATATAACCCTACATGCCTGGGCAACGTTTCTAAATCCTTTCTGTTCACCCTGTCCCTGCTTTCACCTCCTCTATAATCCCTTTTTGCATTTAAGCTCAGTCATGAGTCCCCTTCTTAGCCAGACCATGCTCTTGATACATTTCCTTGTTTTTCTGAGTATCAAGATGGATTATCCTTTCACTTGGAAGACGCTGTCCTTAAAAATCTGCTGGCTTTTCTGAGCAACTTGACCCTTCAAAGCTGCTGCCCATAGAAGCCCACACCTACCCATGAAAAAGCCTGCTCACATGAAGTCCAAGGTCTCTACTCTGCTACTTGCTTTCTTTACTCCCTTCAAGATCTTGATCTCCATTTCATGGTCATGAATTCATCCTACTCATCAGACACAGCAACTTGAAGTCAAATTGCTAGAACGCTTCTATTGACTTCAAGAGCAAGCAGATGTGGTCTTCTCTTTTGGCAGCTTCTTTTTTATAGAAGGGTAAAGTTTTCAACATACAGTGATGGAAAAGACATTCAAATTCCAACTTGAGCACTTATAAATGATATACAACTACTGGGAATTTTTATGCAAGATGGATAAGTGAAAGAGGATAAAGATTATCCCCCAATTAGAAAAATGAAATTAAGAATGTCACTGTATGACATTCATTCTATGATTTTAACATTTTTAAATATCGACAACAATAAAAACAAGCACCCAGAAAACTACGTACTCAGCCAGCTCTGCACGGAAACGCCAGTTCCTGCTGTTATCAGTCACTAGGAATTCCTGGAGCTGATAAAGATACTCTCGTCTTTTGTCAAGATGAAGAAGCTGCAACAGTAAAAATAAGCTCACATAAAGAAATTATAGGCTACCATCAGCAGACAGAATGAGAGCTTTAAAATAAAGCTTATGAAACATTTGCTTTTATTAAAAACAAAAAAAAACCCCAATCTTTAGCAATAGTGTTGCTTTTCTGGGCTAAACCCCATCATGCTTAAGTGTACAGAATCACATGTGGCACTACTGAAAGCAAAATCTGATCTAGTATCTGCTTTCACTCTAGGAAACAAGAAGACTAAGCAGTAAAGATAGCATTGATTTTGAAGGCTTTATGATTTGTGTCTTTCAGCTCCAAAAATGAGGCAGTTAGAGGAAAAACTCCTAAAGAAATTTGATAAGTTGTGCAGAGGTTAGAGCCATCAAAAAATCTTAATACCATTCACTGGCACCTATATATTGAATAAACATGCACAAATCAGGCTCTTCAGAGAAAAGAAAGCATCAGCAACACAGATGTCCTGCAAAATATACTACAGTATTCAACAGACATCTGGATTCCATCCAGATTTGTGTGGATTCCCACAAAGTTATACCAGTGTTATGTTAAAAAGCAAACGCATACAAAGAAATGAAGCAAAATACATAATTTCACTTGACCAGTTGAACACAGACATACCTTCAGAAAGTCATGCAAGTGTTTAAGCACACCTATCCTGACTTCATCTAGATCTTTTAAAAAGCCATTGAAGACAGGAACTAAATCTCCAGCTGTAAGCTGGTCTCCAAGGATGACAGCAAGTTCATGTATAGAAAATGCTAGTGTCCGCCGAACCTTCCACTGTAAAATAAATAAATAAATTTTATTGATGTATCATCCGAAGTGCTCCATTTTAACTTGAGGGTCAGTATCCAAGCTGGACTCCCAGTGAGCTGCACTACTACTACTTTCTCACTTGTTTAATTTATAAAACAGAACAAGATATATATCCCACAGTACTTCAGCTGGCATATTTTAGCTTCCATAATAGGTAAAGTTTCACCCACACTGAGTGCCCAGCAGTACAAGGACCAGTAGAGCTTCTACTCACCCTAAATTGACATGGCACTGTTTTAATGGATTAATTATTTCAACTAACTCTTTTTAAAAATAAAATAGCATTTATTCTTTAGCCAGCGCTTCCCAATTAGCATGGGTACTCTTCTTTTGCCCTGGTTTGGTGATTCAATCTTAATTCAGATTAGACTGGTGATAAACTCTGGACAGTTTTGAATACAGGGTAATTTGTTTTTACTTATGTTTTAAATTTGTTAGCTAGCTGTTTTTAATGGCTGCAAAAGAGTTCGGAAAATATGAGCAACAGCCATGTATAAAATTACTCACTACATATCACTGAGATCTCCTGCTCTGACATAGCAAGCAGCAAGTTCAAGAGAGGTGAAGTAGTCCAAGAATGTTTAAAAAAATAAAAAGAGCATCTCCAAAATAGGAAACAAGGGAGGACTGGGAAACAACTGTAAACCAACAGAAAAATGCACAAAGCTACCTCCTTACCACCTGACAACAAGGCAAATATTTCCAGTATTTGTTTTTAAAACAGCAGTGCTGCATGGTGATAGTGATGTTATTCCTTTATGACTAACTGGCTGCGGCACCAAAAAGGCCACCAAAAGGCCTGGTGTGAGGGTGACTCACTCAGCTCCAGACATGCCTGCAGGGGCATGTGTCTGTCTGCTCATGCACAGCAGCACAGCCCAAATTTTCCTACCTATGAGAATCCCAAGCACTGCTGTAAGATCTCAAGCAAACAGAGGAAATCTGAGACCTCTCCTCACATTCCCACTGGAAATCCACCTCCCATTCAAACTGCCCCATTTCCTTACTACCTGAGCACCACACACGCCCAGCTTCCTCTGAGACAACAGTTACACTGTCATTTGTCATATGAGTAACTAATATCAGCAACTAAAAGCTCCACATGAAAAGCAGAGCAAGCCAACAGCCAGTAAACAACAGAAATCATCACAGAAGTTCAGATTATTCACTGTCACATCATAAAAGTTCAGATCATTCACTATCAAAGCTTCTTGAGCTTACCTGCATGTCCGATGCCAGTGTCTCATAGGTATCTTTTAAACAGTGCCAATTCTGTCTGCCTAACGTAAGAGCCACACCTGGCAGGCTGTAGGCACAGTGTTTGGCAATCTCGGTATCAACTGTTTGTGCACGAGATGGATCAGTCATTGATAAATACTGATCCAGCAAGGCCTGAGGTACAACATCCTACAGCAACAAAAGGATAGAGTGTTTACACTATTTTCAATAAATCTTCAGAAGGCTTACTAAAATTCCAGGGCACACTGTCAGAACACACACACACACACACACCTATAGAGTATTATTTAATTACAAACTCTTAAGAAATGCAAAATCTTTGCATTCTTATAAGTTCCACCAAAAAGTTCTAAATAAACAATGACATGCCTACGGGCTATTTGAAAAATATACAGACCAGCATAACAGATGAGTGGGTAGATCACTGTCTATTTAGGCAGACCAGGAAATTAAGAGACTACATTCCACCCTTCTACAAATTTTCAGGCTCACAGGCTGTGCAGGTTGGCCGTTTTAACTCATCCATAAAAATAGGCAGAACAGAAAATGACGAGACTTGCTCAAAAATAATTTTCCTATTCCTCTCAAAATCTTGGGGAGGTGGAGAGAGGAAAACTGAATTAAAATGCCTTGATGAGGCGGGGGAAGGGGAGGAGTCAGAGTATAGTGCGTTCAACATTGCTTCCGAACTCCCTAAAGGGGCAGCAGGAAGGAAAAGACTTCTTCAGAGTCAGATCTCTGGTGAAGACCAATCCTTCTCTCCACTGAGAAACTAAAGCATCTGGAATAAAGTTTTGTGAAAACCTCTTCATATTGACTTCAACACTGGCTTTGCTTCAGCTGCTGTCAGTTTATCTCAGCCACTGACTCTACCCACCGGGGTGCAAAAGAGCATTTCCGTACCATAGCTGCCAAATAGCTTAGCTCACGTAAGCAACAAGAGGGACTGAGGTTCTCACTCAAGGAATCACATTGGTGCAGGGTGTACTCTTAATACTTAACTATGCAAGAAAAACATTTGATTCCTTTTGGGAAAAAATAACAAAGAGACAGTTCAAGCTTAATGAAATACTATCACAACTTTTCTGCAAAAGGCTGTCGTAGGGTGGGGGCAGTTCCACTCAAAACATTTAACAAAAATCCTGTTTCCTCAATAACCTTATTTCCATTACAGGATAGTTTCCATAGAAAATGAAAAAAACCTAAACCAAAGCCTGGAAGTCTCTGATAACTGTTCTCATGTCAAAAAATATCATCACCTCTTACACATAATTAAAACAGAAGCAACTGCTGAATTAAGCCATTATCTCTGGAAACACAAAATAAATAATTAAGTTATTCTAAGAGGTTTGTAGTATTTTACAGGAACTACATTGCATCAGAAATGACAATGAAATGCATAAAAGAAATCATTATATACATTTAACAAAATCTACTTATCCGATACATGTAGGAAAAACAGAAGCCACTGTCATTTACCTGTACTTTGGATTTTCTTTCTTCTTCAGGGCTGAAACTACTGTTGGTGCTCAAATCTGAATCATTATGAATATAGTGAAGTGTAGAATCCATATTCTATGGAAAAATAAAAAAAAATTAATACAAAACAAAAGACAACATCAAGAAGTGCTGTCCGCACCTCAGGGTCTTTTTCTTAGATTAATATGTTTTAATATCAAATACAATTTTGTTACAGCCCAAAATCAAAAGGCCTGTAAGATAAATCTTTCTGCTTTCAATTTCAAACTTCCTCTTATCCTGCTCCATTTTGGTTCTTATGGAACGAAAAATCACAGGAGAGTAGTACCTTTGAGAGTGCATTAAGGAAAATTTAACTAACATATGGGTCACGTTGCTTCTCCCCTGAAGGGAAAATGAGAAAACATCTTTAGTGGATTTTGTTGGATTTGTTGCTTTGGATTTGTACTAGAAAAGGTCAAAACAAAGCCACCCTCACACTTAAGAGTAGGAACTGATGAGACTATGCTGTTGCTCTTTTCCTAGAGGTGACTATTCTATAATCTTCTCCACAGATGAGCTTCACCCTATAATACAGAGTCCTAGTGGACCATGACTGCTGACATTAGTCATCACCCCTCGCAGCTGTTCTATTAAAATAGTTTTTACCAATCATTCAAGCATCCTGGCTACATATCTGGGCCTTGAAGATAAGGACTGAGACTCCGTTTCAGAACGCTACCGAGCAGCAGAGGTTTGATACCCTATGATAAACTGTGCTGCTGAGGAGATGTGCTGTCACTTTCTATAGCAGTGGAGTTCCCCAAATACAATGGACTTTGCATAATCAACTGTGAATTTCAAGAAGTATGCGATGAATATTTGGAAAGTAGATCACGCTGCTGTCTGGTAGAACAGGACAATGGCATTTTTGCGAGATAGGAGTTAAGGTATCTAATCACAGATGCTGCAGGGTGAGCTCTCAGGGTAATCACAAGCATTGAGAATATGCCTACTCTACCCGCTGTTCAGATCAGTTTGACAACGATAATTTTCAACCAAACTACAAACTTCTTGAAAGAAGCCCCCAGGATACCATCTGTGTTCCTAGGTTTGACTTCAGACAGTTGCTTTTTCCTCTTCTATGATCTGCTTTCATCTAAGCATTGGGATGTAATTTTAGTCACTGAGGTGTAATTACAGGTGATAAAGAACAGGCAGAGCTGCAAGGCAATTGCATATCGCTGGCACAGCAGCCCAAGTCACCAGTCAGGCATATCAAGCAGCAGCAAGAAGGTGTCAAAGAGCCAAGAAAAGAACAGATCTGCAAGTGACTCCATAACTATACGGGTCCAGCAGCATACAACTCCAACTATAAAACCTCCAGAGGCTCTGAAAACCATCTCGGCAGGATTTCAGTTTGCCAGTCAATTCTTCACTTCTTTTTAGCCTTTTTTTTTTTTTTTTTTCCTTCAGAAAGAGATAATTTTCAGCATTCCCAGAAAGTCACCAGCTTTGACCTCTTTTAAATCAAGAAATTACGAGGCAGCCAGCACAACCTAGCCATAGTGCATTTCCATGAGTTGCCCAGGTGCATGGGACCGGGAGTCATCCATTCTGCTACAATAAAAATGAAAAGACTCATCTCACAATCTCTGCTAACCCAGCTCTAAAAAGCTAAGTTTAAATAAATTAAAAAAAAAAAAAAGAGAGATAAAAATAATACTTTATTGATTGAACTAAGTTGAACAACTAAATATACTGAAGGGTGTCACAGATGGGAACATTTTCACCCAGCCACTTTTTAAGTCAAATATGCATTCCAGAAAGGAAGAGCTTCAGTACAGAACCACCACAGCATCAGTTGGTATTTAAGTCAATGCAGTATCTCTATTCCTGCAGATGAAGTTCCATCTGTACTTTTTCCATGTAACATGCACACACTGAAGTGAGCATTGCAGAGAGCCAGCACATAAAAATTCAGCAGGCTTTAGCCTGAAAGCTTCTTGTGAACCACCACTTCTGAGATGCAAAATCCTTGTCATGACCTTACAAACCTCTCACATGAGGTTTCCTTTAGCTGCAGCGTAACAAGAGCTCCATGGTTGTGCTTCATAGACCCCTGCTCTGCAGCATGGCTTGCACACAAAGCCCACAGCTCCAAGACAAGCCGTGCTGGTGTTTCCTAACAGGGCAGCTGGCCCAAATGCAGAGAGAAGAGGCCAGTCTCAGGTTTCCAGTCTCCTCCTGACATCCACCCTCTTCTTAAAAGAGAGGTACTTGTGCCAGAAAGGGATGGGCTGGTTTTAGTCCAGTTTCCTTTCTTTTTCTTTTCCTTCCCTTCTCCCTCTACCTCCAGCAAAAAGAGGACTCCCATCCACTGGGAATATGACTCGGGGGTTTCTTGAGGCTTACATTCATTTATCAAATCTTATAGAGAGCACACAACCTAAAGAAAATAAAAATGGTAGCTCCTGAGGAAAAATAAAACAGCTACCCTCATTCTCAACAATCAAGTGTCATCTATGTGCCAAAATCTTACCTGTTCACTCTATTACAACATCCATTTTCATTTGAATAGAGAATCTCTCTTTAACATGTAGCATTAACTCCTTCAGGAGCCAATACAGCTGCAGAAGGACAAGCCAAGTGTGATTTTGCTTTGCGATATGTGTGCGGAACTGTGAAGGCTGCTTTCAAATATAAAATGCTGTAGCTCAATTTTTCTGAAGTGTCCAGTACCCTATTGACATGTTGCTATGCTGAGACGTTAAAAAATAACCCACCACAACAACAAAAAGAAAACCACAGTGCACACACCAAAAAAAAGAAAAAACCACCTGTGAAAATCAGAGCTCTCTTCACTGCTGAGGCAACAGTCCACTTGTTCAACAGATCACAGCTTGATTCCCAAATTCTAGGTCATCTCTATAATATGCTTTCACTAGTAAAATGAGGACTTGATTCAGTGCCAGCAACAAACAAGGAACTGACAGATTAAGAGCATCCTTTCAAAGAGTAAAGCTGAAATATGCAAAACCAACATATACCAGCAATGTGACAGGTTCTTAAACTTTCTGTCAGCATCATTCTCTGTAAAGAGATAAAATGCAGGACAAGTCCCTCTGAACAAACATCACCCTCATCATCCCTAAAAATTAGAAGGACAGAGGATCCATTTACACTGTCATTTTACAGGTCAGCTCTAGAAAAAAGTGACTACAACAGATCCTATGATAAAGAAACATATCAAGCCTGACATCAGGAGTCGAGGGCAGGTTGTTTTTTGAAACAAACCAACTGACCACATTTGTAGACTTAAATTATGATTATGTATGAACAGTAGTATCAAAGTAAATGTCCCATTCCTCCACCCCCCAAATGTTTTCAGGCTACATGTTAGTCCAACAGCTTAGGTGAAAAGTTAATTAAATGCCATCTAGAAACACTGCTCTAATTAAAGAAGGTTGGAAATGTTTGCATTGGACTGATGTCAACTCCTAGACTTTTCAGAGGCATTTATCAAAGTTTGATGTGAAGTTTCACTTAGGCAATATGATTCAACAAATCACTTGTTGTGGTTTTATGGAGCATATTTTGGAACCATTGCTATCTACATAGCTATAGGTTTTAATACCACCAGAGCTTGTGACGCTATATGCAGTGAACACAGTGGGTTTGGCCTAATACACAGTATGGAACAGAAAATAGTATCAAATGCCACAGACTTCAGTCAGGCAGGGAGCAGTGGTAGGGTGCTGAAGAAGTAAGTGCTAAAAACTAAAATGTTACTGGTTGCTGGAATCCACTTTCTCTTTCAGCAGTCCATACAACATCCTAGATTGCAGGTCCTGAACTTCTCTTACGCAGGCCAGTAAACATATAAAACACTTTGACAGGGAGCACAGTACCTCTGTCTCCAGATTGGGGAGGACTGGCGAAAGGGATTCACTTATTATAGGTAGGGCTCTTTTTTAAGGAAGGCAATTTCACAGTAATAAACTGCAGTAGCATTAAGACATCTTAAAATGTGATAGTCACAACAGAGATTTTAATGGAAATAATTTCAACAATTTAAATGGACAAGCACAGAACTGGCAAAAACAAAGGCACCCAACACATCTCATTTTATTTTAGCAGTTAGTGCTTCAGTACCAGCCAACAAAACCAAATGCCACACTAGCCAAACGCAGGAAGCATTTGGCTGCAATTACTGTGTGAACACAAAATACAGCTCTATTACTGGAGGCCTGGAAATCCCAATGGGGAAAAAAACCAACAGAGTACAAAACTCGCTTCTTACCTCAACAGTGTCACCAATTAAAGGCACAATATCACCCAGTATAGGTTTAAAGTTTTGTTGGTCGTTGATGGTTAGTTCAGTCTGTGAGTCTATTCCCTTGCCAACACTGGCCATTGTCCCTTCTTGAGGATCCAAACTGGATGCTCTGAGTGCAGCAGACAACACCTCCACTTGTGCTGCAGCATACGAAAGAGAAACACATGAGAGACTAAACTGCAATAAACTTTTAGCAAGTTCATAAATCAACTTTAAACAGTGACTAATTAACTGAAAGATAGCGGAAGAACTATGGGGGAGGTAAAAATTTAAGATTGTTGACTATCAGTAAATCCCAAACTGGGGACAATTAGCATAAAACGTAAGGCAGATTAACACTCTACTCTTTTCTTTGCTGTACTTACTTTGCTCAACCACTCTATAGTTCAGTGAAATTTGTCTTTTAAAGCAAAAAAACTACGAGTAAGAGACTGCTGTTAGGGCAGGATCAGTTCTTTAAGGATTTTGGTACATATTAATGGTGCAAATAGTCTTTGGGGCAGAACAGCACATGAACAGTAACTTACTGACTGGGCCTTTTGTCGAAGATGGGAATAAAAGACAGAAGGGAAAAGTAATTCAAATAAAGGTTGAGAAGTTTTATTCATAAAGAAAGGATTTCAGTTCTGAGAGGCTGTCTCTCTCTATATATGTGGTCATTAAATTCTTATGTTTTTATAGCAACTCTAAAGCAATATCTATATAGGAAGATGCTAGACCCCACTAACTCTTTTCTGGACAGGATACTTTAGCCTCCTTGCATCCTCCAAACACATAATAAAGGTTGCATTGTTTGACATCCTCTTACTCATTAAAAGAAGGCATTAGCACTTCACACTCTGCCATCCACTCTTTTGAAAAAGATCCAGCAGTTCTGAGACTGCTCTGCTTTCCATCCCTCTGCTTACTGCTGATTAAAAAAAGGCTTTGTTGAGCAATGTTCCTTGGATATAGCCTGACCTAAGCAGATCAGGTATCAGAGGCAATCTTAGCTGCAAGCAACACTGAATTCAGTGCCTCTCTCCTTATCCACTTCTTCACAAGAAGGTAAGAAGAAATAATCTCCTGACCCATTAAATTTACCCAGCCATCCAGAAGCTCTGTTCTCCATAGACTTTGGCTTTGCCAAGGTTTCTTAAATGCTCATTGTGAAAATAAACGACAAACCATATGCTTGTTTTTAATCCCACATTGCCATACTCAGTTACAGAATCTGAATTTGTTCCTCTAGCTTTTTCGATAGGGTTATTAACAAGAATTAAACATAGTAAGTTGAACTCATTTGTAGGCAGAAGAAACAGATATACAAAACATACGTTACAAGAAGCAAAATTGTAACTTGGCACAATCCTAGCTAGCAAAAATAGGAAAACACTACAGGTTCACTGGTTTCTAGGCGAGTCTGATGAGCAGGACTAAAGATAATTCTTTAGAATATGGAATGCTAGCTCTGTAACTGCATCAAATTTCTGACAGAATAACCAAAAGATATTCTTGCTGTATTACTGTAATTCACCTCAACAGGAAAAAACAAGTTAGAAACTAAAACCAACCAACAGCATATTAATATTTCCACTACAAAACACATTATGTTAGAAAATATAGTTTCAATACATATCTATAATATAGAAATATATAAAATTTAGAAATTTTACAATTTGCAAGATTAACAAAAGCTTGCTATGACTTCACTCTTCAAGTGTTAGTTCACTGACAATAAACCCCTGTACTTTAAGGCCCATGAGAATAAACAAGATCAAGGTTAGTAAATTCCTCCAAAACTTAAAAGTTAAATAAATCACCCCAAAAACATGCAAAATAAGAGGTCATTTCAGAGCACTTGCTAGGGCAAGAAATGCCTGTCTGATTTCTAATTTATTCTCATTTAGAGAAATCAAACAAGAAAATTAAAAATAATTATATTCTGTTGCACATCAAGGAGACATTTTTCATGAAGACTTCTTTCATGAAGGACAATTTCATGAAAAATGTACACTCCTTTCATTTTCACTTAAAAGACAAGAAAGCTTACCCTGACTAGGTAACATACTGCTTTCAACACTGAATATGTATTTACTGAAAAATCTACACAAAGCTCCAAAGATTACTTCTAACAACAAGAGTGAAGGTATCTACAGCAGTAATTGGGAATTTTCCAAGACATGCCCTACCCGTACCCCACTGTCAGCCTGCACGCCTGGACCACCCTTTCTTAGGGGATTAACAGGATGGAGACCACATGTATGCCGATTTCCTCTGCCTGCCCTAGAGCAGATACAGGACAAATACGCATGTCCTCAGATTCTTGTCAATTCTACAATACCAAAACATGGAGATAAAGGACAGGAGAGGCCAAACTCCCAAGGATTTCATTGATTAACAAGTGCCTTCTTTCTTCTTTGAGTGCTTCTCCGTAGGTCCTGTCACCAAGGGTGCCTCTAGCGCTATCATTCACTGAAAGGTGAATGACCTGAAGTCTGTAAACATCTTAAGGTCCTAGCCAAAAAAGAGCCAATCACAGTCACTATGGATGGCTCCAGAATGGTGGAGTGCTTAAAGAGAAAGAGAGTGCATGTGTGAGTATGTGTATGTGTGCTCAGCTCTAGGTGGCTGCCTTGAAGATACTGAAACTTGAGACAGCATCCTAATGAGCTGTCTTCACCACCCAGGCTTAGGTGCCAGGGCAAATCCTCTTGTAATCCCATCACGCACACAGTCCAAGATCTGTGCTGACACCCTCTTGAGTGAGATTGGCTGCTGCTTCTCCCCATCTCCCACAAAGATCTTTCCTACAGCAATAAAACAGGCAACGTTTTCCAGAAAACCATTAAAACTGCAAGCAAAGGATACGGCTCCCTTCTCACGCATGACAGAAATGCCTCGGAGCTCTTGGGAAGGAAGGTTTTGGGAGGAAGACTGGAAGGGAATCTGCTTACTGGCTAAATAGCTTTCACAACTACATTCAGTGAAATCTAGGGTGTAAACGTCAGTTTTGTGCAGAACAGAACTCATGTATTACATTAGTAAGATAAAGTCAATGTTCATTGGATCCTGAACAATCTGCTAATTAACTCTTTCTTCCTTTGACTTTTGCTTCAGGTGAGAAGTGTTTTTCAGCAAGGAATTATTTACTCTTGGCTACTGTACCTGCATCCTAAAATAAATGGCACAATCTTTAAACTCAAAACCACATTTTACCCGGTCTTATTAAATTTGCTGGTCCTCAGGAGTTTCTGTCCTTGCAATATGCTGTATTGTTGTTTTCTGTTTCTCCTGATGTTTCACTAGAAGACATTGCTATTTCTAAGTGGCATACTCCCTTCTTTTTTTCTGTAGGATCTGCCTTTCTTACCCTCACTTCTTACTCAGAGGCAAAAGCCATGGGCTGCATTAATGCATTAATTATTTAAAACATAAAAATAAGAGGAGTTTCTTCTCCACTTCCTTCTCACATACTGTTCCACTAATAACATATTTTAGACTTTTACTGCAGACAGCGGTAGTAGCCTAAATTATAAACATAGTTTTTATAAGAGAATGGGATTAATTGACGCTACTTTTGTGCTGGTTTATCTCTGTTAGGTCTCCATTTGACAAAGCAGCCTGTAACTGGCATAAACCACAGTTAGCCCCAGTAACCTGCAAGTCAGGCTTTCTCTCCTCTCCTATATGGAGATACATAAAGCTGAAGAAAGTGTTCCCATAAAGAAAAATAAAGAAATAAAAACATCTGGGGAAAGAAAAGCAACCCCTGAAGTAAGTAAAGATGGCAGCAGTCTCAGTGAGCTGGAAAATGGTGCCCTGAATAAAGACCCTGTGATAATTTTAAAAGAGCCAGTTTGAGACCCTCAGGATGTCTGGCCAATGGATTGGAAAGGTCCTATTAACACGGATTACATACCACTGCTTAACTCTGCATAGCTTGTATAGCTCTGCTAGCCAGTAGAGTTTGTCTGTGAGAAGACAGGCTGTCTTTACCTTGGTTGCTGACTACCTATTACTCAGATTTATCACTTTGGCAACAAGCTAGTTCTGGAAAGAAAGCCTCAAGGTAAAGATTTTTGGGAGTGAGATTCAGTTAAAGCAGTTCACCCCTTTCTGAGAATGAGATTACAGAAAAAAAATACATTCTATGGCAGTTGCTTGTCCCTGTTAAAAAATTGTATTTGCTAGAGACCTCATCAGTCTCCATGCCTTGGAGCAAGGATTTGAAGTTTGAAATGGAAACTGCTCTGATGATAGAGAGGTGCACTAGGGAAACACAGAAAACACTGTCAAATTACAAACCTAAAACAAACAAACACAAACACCCCAAAAACCCACACAACCACGAACAGTTAGTTCTGTGTATCTAAACAGTAACCCAATTAGTGCTTGGCAGCCAAGACATCAGGAAGGTTGTGGTATGCACTGAACATACTGTACTCTGGGCTGCACGAGCTGGCAATGCCCTTCCTTTCAACTCATCATTCCCCTTGGCATAGTATGGCGAGGCACCCCTCAGATAAAAACAGAGTTATTCTCTTCTCAGTACTTCTGCTATAATGATACAAGCAGCTGAGGGAAGCAGCACCTCGCACAACATAGAAGGGTGAGGTGAGATGTGTGAAGCAGAGGAACACAGAATCTAGAAGGAAGAGAAATGAAAACAAAAGAGGAAATAGGAGGGGAAATAGACTCAGAGGGAGGGGACAGGTGTACAAAGGCATAGTATTTGCTATGACTACACATACAGTGCAAAGCATGGGGGGGGGACGACGGGGGGACACAACACCACCACCAATCAAACCCAAAAACTGTACTCGTCTGACTCAGAAAGAATCATCGCCAGTTGAACTTCAGTACCAAATCTCCACACCTGACTCAGCTGTCAGGGACTGGCTCTGAAACCAACTAGCAAAATGGAAATCATCAACCTCCACTGATTGTACCATTAATGACACCACCTTATTACCATCACCAGTTATTTTGCAGTCAAATAATAAAAATTCAGTGTGATCTTAAGAATTTTGAAAAATCCTACGCCAATGACCTCAGCCAATATGGTTCCACACAACAGGTATTAATTTGCTTCCTTTTTTTAAGTTTAGAAAATATTCTCCAAAGCAAAACACGTTAAGAGAAGGATGCTGAAGCTGCACTGTCAAGCACAGAGACGCTAGGTAGAGCCAGAGTTAAGGTCAACTGAACAACTTAACCTTATAGACATATGCATAACATCATACACTACAGTCTCATTCCCAAACTACATTTTTGGTAACTCATCCCCACTTGTTCTTGTGACGTCTCTAGGATGCTTGCTATAGAACCCAGAAGATGTGTACCTATGGGAGCTCTCCATCATGGCAGGCCTCCGCTTACCCACCACACAGAACACGGCATCTTCCACTCCCATCCCTTGGCTGCGAATGCAGTGATAAAGACAGGAGCACAGCATGGAAGCAGAAATCCAGGACTTTGATGACAGCAAACCAATGAAGAAAAGAAGTGCAAGAAAAAGGTCACAGGGACTTTTAAGAGAAAGAGAGAAAGAAAGAGAGGGAAAAAAAACACACCTGTCTTTGCTGTCAAGAACCAGGCCACTCACAGTACAAGACTCATAAAAACGTAATGGCTAGTCTTGCCTAGCAGGGGGCAGGGAAAGACCCTAAACACTGCTTGGGACCAGAGCTGTTTGGCAAACACTTGTAAGCCACTTATACTGGAGATAAAATTATCTGTGAAATTAAGAAGTTTCATAAAATTTCTATGAAAATAACAAATTAAGACAACCTTTGGACTGAATATTTATACCGTCAGTTTGCAACAACAGTTTTAGATGGTAAAGATGGAAGCGTTATTCTTGGTATTACCATGAGCAAAGAAGCAGTCAGGGTTCAGATATTCTGGATCAACCCCAAAGGGAATCTACATCCCTCTTGTCAGAACATATGGAGTGTAAGGTCCAAAACATAGGCTTTAAGTCAGCTACTCAGAGACTAAAGTCTGGATACCTACCACTTCTATGTGCGCTTTAGTGATTGAGACAAGCATGCAAAATGAACACTATTTTATCAGTTTTGGTCTCAATTTCCTTATGCCTCAATGCGCTTTGTGTAAAATTAAAATAGCAACATTACCAAATCAAAACAGGCATGTTGTTAAATTCCAGTTGCTGGAGTATTTAGACTGAATAACGAGAGTACAGGCAAGAAGAAAAAAAGAGTAGAAGGTTTAGAAGGCTTGCTTCATGGAGCTTCACTACACAGCCTGGACCAAGTCAGAGGTACTGTATGGAATACAAAGGTGACTGAGTAATTAAGACCACCCACCCCCACCCCACCCCAAATTAGAATAAATGGCATTGGTAACCCTAATTAAAATCTTTCCTACCTTGTGGGTACTGGGAAACCATGATGTTGACAACTAGTAAGTTTTCTCCTACTGAAATGCACAAGTGCTAGTTAACAACTGCACAGAAAACCTCTTGACATCCAGTCAAGAGAGCTACAAAACAACCCCACTCTGAAACAAGACACGAACACACACACAACAGCAACAACCCTGTATCACGGGACAATTCTAGATGTGCAAATACACGCCTACATAAATCTTCATTAAAAGTGTTTAAGATGTTCTGTAACTGGACAGAACAAGCTCTTGTAAAACAAACCTAAAGAGCAGTGCAAGTTTAAACAGTGGGTTTCAGAGATGGGTTATGAGAAGACTGAGATCATTAGCAAGGCTGAAATTTTTTTCTTATCTCTTTCCTTAGAGAGAGTGACCAAAGCACTAAAAGCAACCGTTTCATCTGTTGACTTCACAACAGATCAAACAGAAGCAGCCCAACGTGGATTTAAGAAAAGTTATTAGCATATCAACCTACTAACAACAAAAAGAAGTTGAAAGCAGTATCAGTTTATTCTAAAATGTTTTTCCCACTCCCAACTTGCCCTTCTTTTTCCTTCCTACTTTTTCTGGTATAGAGTAGTGCTTCCCCTAAAGATTCTTAGTTCCATAATAACATGGCTTCTTCCTTAGTTGTACGTCTGCACTTTCTGACTGTGACGCTGAAGCTTGATGTGCCTTAGAATTTATTCAGCGTACGAATACCAAGAGAAATGTATCTGCAGCAAGTATGTGTGAAAAAGCCAAATCATTTTGGCCCAGGAGGTATCTCTGAGGTGCTGCTCCATCAGCTGGTCATACTTATAAAACCTTTCCCCACCCTTCACAAGCTTTTAAAATGGAGGATGTGCATTCACTTCGAGAATTCAGTTTGGATCAATTCTCAGTTTGACCTAACAAACTTGGCACACTAAGCAGACAACATAAGACTGCAATAATAAATACCTTGCAGAAAAATGGAGAAGACTAATTCATTAAAAATAAAATGGATAATGCATAAAATGAAAACCATTTATCACATATCATTTTTTTTAGTAAATCTTAATCTGCCTTCTTATTTTGCATGTATGCTAATTACAAATTAATTTCCTGGTCACACCTTATGCCATTGAACCATCTATTTGATTATACTGTCAACACAGGCAGCCAGAAGTTTATACTGCTGTTATATCTATTCAGTTTACAGAAGGAATCATACTACCTTTAAACAACTTTAGACAAATGCAAGTTCCCTTTTAGTTCGTTATTAGTTTTCACAATTAAATCAAAATAGATGCAATCTCTTCGAGGACCAGGAGAAAGTAGTAATTCTGACTTCTAAAACAACTGAAAGGTTAAAGCCCAAACTGCTAAAGCAACATGTGCATATTGCCAAACACTAAAAGTGCTTCAGTATCTTTACTATACCTTTAACATCTGGATCGTCTATATGGGGTTCCAAATTTTCTATCATTTCTTCCAATTCTTTCCTTGTTGCCATAGGAATGTTTGGAGACACTGGCATAGTGAGTTCCTGAATTTCTGTATCGAGTATTATGTCAGAAGTCTGCTGAAGCTCGAAGTCAATATCTATTTCAGGAAGTGGAGTCCTCCAGAAATGAAAAGAGTTATACAATTCCTGCTCTGAAAGAGAGGTTTCCTGTGAATTCAGCCCAGCCTCCTGCAGACCTGCTGT